TAAAAGGTATTTACACCCCCAGACCCAAAAGTGTCTGGGCTCTGCAAAAATCAGACTTTAAGATAGCTATCCACTATTGTTCAATGCTCTCAGCAACTGATCACCTGTGTCTCCTGGATGCTAAACTAATCAAGGAAACAGGTGCCTTAAAAAAACCTGTCTCTGATAAAGCTTATCTCAGGTAAAAATTAAAAACATGTTCCAATCTCCCACCCCCTCATATTAACACAACCAGCAGAGTACTAAACACTACAACGATCAATAGCCCAAGACTTTAATTTCTCTCATGGCTGCTTCTTAATATGTTCAATTTTTCCCAAGCTCCAGAAACCAGCTTAAACCCATCCTACAGGTCGGATCTACTTCAAGATAAGTGCCAAACCCAAACTTGCTTGGTCTTGGGACCCCCTCTATCACCCTGGGAACCCTGAAAGGAAAAATTAAGAATAATAATTATAATTCTTCTTCTAAGCTTGTCTCTGCCTCACCAGCATCCTGTCAGACATAAAAGCACTCAGAATGCCAAGCCAAGACAGATGAACAGCTCCGAGGCAGCAGACGACAGCCCCCCATCCCAGGACACCTGTCTACCTCAGAAGGCCCCTTCCCTACCCCCCTCCCCAAGAGTCAACCGATGCCCACCAAGTCAGCTGGAAGCAGTTTTTCTGGGAGAAACTATGCCCCTATTCCTGCTCACCCGCTTTTTTATAATAGGCAAAAAGTCTGAAATGTTAGGATTCTCTCCCGACTCCAGCTGCATGACCACACATGCACAGTGCAGGAGCTAAGCAGGGGCCCTTGTGTCTTACATCATCAGTGTGTGCTGGTGATTATGTGCACGAGGTGGCATGGTCACGCAATCTGCACATGTATGGCATAGCTCCGTAAGCCCACCTGCACCTTAAAAAGCCAGACACAGACTCCTCCTCTCCCTCTCTGTTCTCTCTTGCCCTCACTATCTCTCTCCCCCTCTCTCTCCGTTCTCTGCACGTGCTTCTTCCCCAGGCCTAGTTCTGTTGCCCCCCCCCCCAAAAAAAAAGCTCTGATACTGGATTTTGTTGTGGCTCCTGCCTCATGACCTTTCCACTTGGTAACCAGTTGCTGTTTACCATTTTTAAACCAACAATAAGGAAACACAGAAGAGGAATTAGGGGAGGACTTGAGGACAAGACAGAGAAGAGAAAAGAGAATGGGAGAACTAGATGGGTAAAACTGGAGAGGAAGGGACTAGATGGGGAGAACTAGACTTAAGGGCTAGAAGAGAGGACTAGAGGAATGAGGTGGAAGATGAGGAAGAGCCAGATGGGGAAGAACAAGAGGAGGAAGAGCCAGATGAGAAAAAATGAGATGGGAGAGGAGCTGAGATGGGAAGGAACTAGATGGATGAGAATCTAGATGGGGCAGAACTAGATGAAGGAATTAAGATAGAACCTCGAGGGGAGAGCAGATAAATGTAGAGAGAAATCAGGCAAGAAAGGAGCTAGACATGAGAGCAGAATAGAAGCTGTGTAGAGAGAGAACTATCACAGAATAATAAAGTACATGGAGCCTTGTGTACATAGATTCATTTCCTATCCTCAAAGATTAGATTATCAGCTGTTTGTAGATTCTTCCTAGACCCTGGGAGGGGACTATGGAGGGGCAGGATCCCCATAGTCGCCGTTACCTGGCGCCACAAACAGACTTAACTGTTTAGGTACTCGGGGACTTATAAGAAGTAAGGTTTGGAGCATATCCAGGGAGAGAGGTGTCGCTTCACAGAGGGCTGCCCAGTTAGAGGCTCAACTCTTCGGGAGGTACGATTTTGGGAGACCTGGAGCATCAGCTACAATCAGTCCTCACCAAAGGATGCTACAGACCCCGGGGACACCGATACCCCTGTCTGCAGCAGTGAGTAGCCATGAATACCCCACCCCCTTAAGAACAGTTAAAATGAGTCGGAAGAGAAACAGCTTCAGATAGAAATTACAGGACACAGGCTTGAGATAAGAGGCATTTCAGCCAGCTCCAGTCAGTTTACGGCTTAGATATGGAGGCAATAGACGATCTTAATTCTAAACAGCCCACTAAAAAATGCATAGAAAGATTAAGGAGAGCCGCTGACCTATGTCCTCTGAAGCAGCAGCCTCCTACTACAAACAGATTTTTTTATTTATTTTATTTTATTTTTTGCTATGACTCACTGGGATCTAAGGGCTAACTTGAGCCATAAAACTTCAAAACTGCCCTGCACCCAACTAGGAGCTCATCCAGCAGCCTTGGTTTAAATAACAGTGCAAACTTCACAGCCCCACCAGAGCAGGTATGAAAACTAATGGCAACTCCCAGTTCTCCTATCCTGCATTTAAAAAGTGTCTTTCTCTCTCTCTTTGTCTTTCTGGGTTCACTATTCCTGTGAAGTTCTTAGTTACTTATAAAAAAAATCTTGGTCCAAGTCTAAGAACTGCTAATATCAGATTGTGAAAAGGGACGCCTTCCACAATTTGAACTCCTAGGGCTTCTCAGACTTCCGGAGCCATCTGGAAGCTGGAATCCTAAACATCTAGCTTCTTCTCTCTGAACCTAACTGTCTGCATCTCAGTTCACTTCAGCCTTTGTTCCCCCGACACCTTGACATTCCCAGCAGCCATCTGGTTTGATACAGAAAGGAAAAACCGGCTGTGGCTGCTACAAAAACAAACAACAACAACAAAATCCTCCTCCGTTTTATTTATTTATTTTTTATTTTATTTTTTTACTGTGCTTATCTTAATTCATGATACACCATAAAGGATTTATTAAATTGTTACTCTCCTTATATACTATATTTTTGAATAAGAGCTCCTGTTTCTATATTAAAATAACTTCAGTTATTTTATTATTTTTAAGGCTAAACTTGATAGGTATCAAGCTTATGTTCTAAATTTATAAGGACAACTAACTTATAAATTGTTAAGAATAAGTTTACTTTAATTAAAGATAATAAGAAATACAATTTATTGATTGATTGGCCAACCTAAACTGTATACTCTTTTTTTTTTTTTGGTTTTTCGAGACAGGGTTTCTCTGCGAGCTTTGCACCTTTCCTGGAGCTCACTTGGTAGCCCAGGCTGGCCTCGAACTCACAGAGATCCGTCTGGCTCTGCCCGAGTGCTGGGATTAAAGGCGTGCGCCACCACCGCCCGGCAAACTGTATACTCTTAAGGATAAGTTGTATATGAATTATAAGCTATTAAGGATAATTATTAGGATATAAGTTAAAACTTGATCATCTTATAAATGATCAAATTTTCTAATGTATGCAAAACTACATTTATGCTAAATTTGTTGAATATTAATACAATAAATTCCTTACTTAACCCCTGGCATTCTAAGAATGTTTAAGCTTCCCACTTTAAACTATGCCATGCCTCTTATTGCCAGGGTTTTGTCCAAACTACACTTTGAGATCATTTAGATTATAGCCCCATTTATGAGGTCTAAAGATAATTTGCCTTGCTATCCAATTTCAAATAAAAGATATTGCTCACCAAATAGATTTTGAAATGACCTTTTACTGTTCCTTTATTAAATGAAATTCACTTTACATTGGCTGTTCTCAAATATCAATCACCTATGTCTCCTGACAAATTAAATACATAGATGCTTTTGGATGTAAAATTTTTTATAAGGGTATGGAAGTTTATATAGATATAAAGAATATTTAGAAAAGTTAAAAAATAACTTATAATATATGAACTGCCAGTTATTAGGATAGATAAATATAACATATGAATATCTAGATATGTTATAAATGATACATGAATCTCAGTAAATAAGCTAGAGATACTGAGGATATGTGCTTAAGTTAGATCTATGGATAAAGTTTTTATTGAGGTCTGAGATTATATATATAGGCTTTAAGAATGGACTTATCTATGCCTTAATACAAGAGTCTATGGACCTCCCCAGAAGGGACACTGGGGCTAATAATAGGCCGTAGCTCCTCTGCTGTACAAGGTATAAAAATTGTCCCAGGAAAGGTTGATTCTGACTTTACTAGAAAAATTAAGATTATTGTACACCCCCCTACAAAAACAATTCAGATTCATGCAGGGCAGCACCTAAGGGAACTGCTGGTTTGGATTCTAATGATATGGCTTTCTGGGTTCAGAAATTGGATATTCCAGACCAACTAAACACTTAAAATACAGGGAAAGAAAATAATTGGCTTGCTAGACATAAGCACGGACATTTCTTATATTTCAGGAAAAGATTGGCCAACTACTTAAGGCAACTATTACTCTTTCATCTCTTATAGGCCTAGGTCAAGCTAATATTACTGCCAGAAGCTCAAAAAATATAAAGATGGTCAGATAGATGAAATTATGGCCTATTCTCCTCATGTGTCACCCTCCATACTTAATGCACTCTGGGGAAGAGACGGGTTGCACTGGTGGACGTGTCATCAGCCTCTGCTGTGGACTGACACCAGCTCGGATGCTATAGGTGGGTTTTAAACCTAAGAGAACTTGGGTAAACAAACCCAAGGCATAACTGATCCCATTCTTCCAGATTATAAATGACAGACCTGGCCTAGGGCATCAAAATTTATCCTACGGGCCACTGTTCACTGCCAGAGAGAGAGAGAGAGAGAGAAAGAGAGAGAGAGAGAGAGAGAAGGAGAGAGGGAGAGAGAGAGAAAAGGAGAGAGGGAGGGAGGGAGAGACAGAGACAAGCAATTTCCTCTCCCACTCTTGATTGCCAGCTTTTGGTCCCACAGATGTCAAAGCAACCACTGCATCACCAAGTGCCCTCACCTGGCTGCAGCTTGCAGTTGTTTCCAAGTTCTCTTAGTTCAACACGTGCTTCAGTATCAGTGGGATCAAAGTACCGGGGCTGGGCCTTCCCTCCTGGCCCAAGCAAGCAAAGACAGCCTCCCTCTCCCTGCTCTGAACTCCCTGGGGAGGTCACATTGCAGGCTTGTGGTTTCCTCTCCAGTTGGAGCTTCCTCACAGAAGGGGCGATCTCTGCGCACTCACCAGTCAGGAAGCAGGGGCGGGCCACCCAGTCTTCAGCATACACGGCAAACTGGCTCAAGTACCTACTCTGCATGTACCCGTTCACGGTGCAGAAGAGGACTGCGGCGGCAAAGGAAAAGAACGGTGTGGCTTTCCCTCCTCGGATCAGGGCCGGGAACACCAGCGTCCTTAGGAAACAAAAGCAAGGCGCAGACTTGAGAACCAGGGAGTCTGTTTCTACGTCGTTGCTTCACATGACCTTTCCGGTTTGTTTTCTGGTATAGATGTCATTCTTGGCGCACATTTGTGTTGGTTTACTCTATTCTAAAATCAGGGGCTTTTCGATAAAGACCCAACTATGCTTCCCTCATGTTTGTCAGTCACAATATTCAGGATTCTAATTATACAGAGCATAAAACAGATACACTCACTTAGAGAAAATGGACAAATTCTCCCTCTCCTAAAACTCTCTCCAAAGCAATCTGACACTTCTGGCACTTGTGGGACCCTGAACTCATGCGCACATACCCCCTACACAGACACACAGACACACAGACACAGACACACACAGACAGACACACACCCCCTACACAGACACACACACACAGACAGACACACACCCCCTACACACACACACACACACACACACACACACACACACACAATTTAAAATAATAAAAATAAATTAAAAAAATAAAAATTTTAAAAGAAACATGTCTGTTAGAATACAGTTTACTGGTGGCTAGAGGGCTATTTTGGTGGGTGAATTGCTTGTCTTACACATGCAAGTATTTGAGTTTAATTCCCAGTACTCAGCTTTAAAACAAAACAAAAAACAAAGTGAGCACTTACATTCGCAGCACTGAGGAGGTGGCAATGACTGCATCTCGCTGCTCAGTCAGCCTCACCTAATCAGGGCTCCAGGGAGGCTCCAGTCTGCGTTTCCCCAGTGCCCAGTTTTCTCTTAAGTGGGTTCTAGGAATCAGCTCAGGGTCTTACGTTTATATAACAAGTGCTTTACTGCTTTATCAAATAAGCTAGCTCCCAGTGTGTTAATATTTAAGGCCGTAGGCCAGAGAACTTGTCATAGACAGACAGACAGACAGACACACAGCGTTTATATTTGTCCCTCTGTCCTTTGGAAACTGGTTTCAGGAGCCCGGAAAACAACTAAGTCATTGGATGTTCAACTCATACACAACTGCATAGCATTTGCATAAAATACATGCCCCATTTATTATATTCTTCTGAGGTCTTTGATGTAGTTGAAGACTAGATAGTTATAATTATGGTTTTCTTTGGTTATGATAAGAGATAAGGTAGATATCAAACTTTAGACTCACAAATATAGGATAGATAGAATATTTTCTTTAAATTTACAAAATACATATAGACTAG